CGCTCCGCAGCGCTGTGGGCCCACGTTCACGGCGCCCAGGGCTCCGGGGCTCGGGATGTCGTCTCCAAACCGGCTCCACCCCGGGGGGCCCCTGCAGTGGCGTCACCAGGCCGGAGGATTAGAGGGGATGACACGGTGGGAGGGGCTAACACCTAAAAGACTGTCTGTAAGATGTTCGTGCCGGGTTTCAGCAGAAATGCATCCTAGAGCATCCCTGGTGGTGCAGGGGTTAAAGCTCCCGGCTGCTAACAGAAAGGGTCGCACCTTGAAAGCCACCAGTCGCCGCCCTGTGGGAGAAACATTGCGGCAGGCTGTTTGTATAGGTTTCTTTACAGCCTTGGAAGCCCCGTGGAGCCGTTCTGCTCTGCCCCGCAGGGCCCCAAGTGGGGGAATTCCACTCCTTAGCAGTGAATTTGGTTTGGGGTTTAGTTCATGATAATAACACCCAAAACCCTTTTTCGTAAACTCAGCTACGCAGACGAAGGGACTTCAAAAAGTTCGTGCAAAATTCCATGATCTTTAAAATTCATTTTGTTCCCCCATGAGATTTTGAAGTCCCTCTGGATCAATCAATATACATACAAGGTTAAAAATTCAATGCTCATTTACTATTTGAACTTACTAATGCTCGGGCCAGAGCTGTCATTATTACCCAATCAGAAGGACGTGTGGCTTTATCCGCAGGCACTACAAACATCCACAGTGGTTTGGGTTGTTGAGAATGTTGTTAAGTTTTCTGGTGTTTTGGCTACAATATTGTGGGAATTAGGACTTGAGAATGACATCTATCTATCTATCTTTCTTTCTTTCTTTCTATCTATCATCTATCTATCTATCTATCTATATTTGGAATAAAGTAGTAATTAAAAAGGTGTGTGTAAAAATAAAACCCTACCCCCTGCTAAGGAGTCAATTCTGCCTCATGGTGATCCTTACAGAGGGTTTTCAAGACTGTAGATCTCTATGGGAACAGATCACCACTCTTTCTCCCTTAATAGCGACTAGTGGGTTTAACCCACCTACCTCACTCCACAGTGCCACTAAACCAAAAAACAGAACAAAGCAGAAACTCATTGCTATCAGGTTGATTTTGACGCATAGCAATCCTATGGGACGGAGCGCAACTGCCCCTGTGGGTTTCTGAGACTGTAAATCTTTATAGGAGGAAAGGTTAGTAGTTTGAAATCATCAGCTGCCCATGAGAGAGAGGAGGCATTCTACCCCCTTAAGGATCTACCGTATATACTCGAGTATAAGCCGTCCCAAATATCAGTCAAGGTACCTAATTTTACCACAAAAATTACATTAAAAATGTACTGAAAAACTCGGCTTGTACACGAGTATACATGGTACCCTCTTGGAAACCCACAGGGGCAGTTCTGCTCTGTCCTATAGGGTTGTTATGAGTCAGAATCGGCTCAATGGCTGTGGTTGGAGTTAAAAGGATTTTGTTCGATGGCGAGAAGGGTGAGGTGTAGGAGGCCTGGTAGGGCGCGATCAAGGGCAATTAACCGAGAGGAATTACTGAAACCCAAATGAAGACTGAGCATGATAGTGCGGCAAGAGGAAAGTAAAAGGAAATAGAGGAAAGAACTAGGAGGCAAAGGGCATTTATAGGGGTCTAAATACAGGCATGTACCAATGTAAATATATTTATATATGATGATGGATAAATAGATCTATGTGCATATATTTATAGGTTTAGCATTAAGGTAGCAGGTGGACATTGGGCCTCCACTCAAGTACTCCCTCAACGCAAGAACACTTTGTTCTATTAAACTGGCATTCCATGATGCTCACCTTCCTGACACGATCACTGAAGACAAATGGGTGCATAAGCAAATGTGGTAAAGAAAGCTGATGATGCCTGGCTATCAAAAGAGATAGTGTCTGGGGTCTTAAAGGATTGAAGATACACAAGTGGCCATCTAGCTGAGAAGCAACAAATCCCACATGAAAGAAGCACACCAGCCTGTGTGATCATGAGGTGTTGATAGGATCAGGCATCGGGCATCATCAGAACAAAAAATCCCATCATTGTGAATGAGGGGGAGTGCAGATTGGGGACCCAAAGCCCATCTGTAGGCAACTGGACATCCCCTTACAGAAGGGTTGCCAGGAGGAGATGAGCCAGGCAGGGTGCAGTATAGCACCGATGAAACATACAACTTTCCTCTAGTTCTTTAATGCTTCCTCCTCCCCACTGTCATGATCCCAATTCTACCTTACAAATCTGACAAGACCAGAGGATGTACACTGGTACAGATAGGAACTGGAAACACAGGGAGTCCAGGACAGATGATCCATTCAGGACCAGTGGCGAGAGTGACGATACCAGGCGGGAAGGGGAAGGTTGGAGTAGAAAGGGGGAACCGATTACAAGGATCTACATATAACCCCCTCCGTGAGGGACAGACAACAGAAAAGTAGGTGAATGGAGACATCGGACAGTGTAAGACATGAAAACTTTTTTTTATAAATTATCAAGGGTTTGTGAGGGAGGGAGGAGAGAAAATGAGGAGCTGATACCAAGGGCTCAAGTAGATAACAAATTTTTAGAGAATGCTGATGGCAACAAATGTATGAGTGTGCTTGACACAATGGATGAATGTATGGATTGTGATGAGTTGTATGAGCCCCCACTAAAATGATTAAAAGCAACAACAACAAAGGATTTTTGTATGACTTGGTACAGGAAGAAGTACATGGGGCAATGACACTGTGAGTTACTGGACTAGTGGCACCAACCCTAGGGATACCACTGGTCCCCAGTCTGCCTGCCCTATACAAAGTAGCCCCTGCAGGCCTCCAAATGAGTGCCTGGTCCTTTCTCTGTTCACCATGGTGCAGCAG